TTGAAAAAATAATTTTTAGCGTCATAAGTTAAGAATTGTGTTGAGCATATCGGATGCATAGTTCAAAATCGTTTGCAGTGGCGCAGGTTTATCCATCCTTCGGTTCCCTCCCCCAAATTCTAAGCTTCTGAATTCATCGTAATTTATTTTATTTCATTCTAGTTATTCATATTTTCTTGGATCATATCTTCAGTGTTTAATCTTTTCTATTCCCACTAATGACTGTTACTGCGTTTACTACTCTGGGATTTGTCCCGGCAATTTCATCTCGTTGTGTTAGTAGAGTATAGCAACTTAAACTTATATACATACATATCAGACTCTACTTTACATTTGACCACCTTAGATATCGAGTTCTTTCTATGTAGATGATATATAACACTCAAATAAACAATCTGCGTTAATTATAACCCTAAACCACTTAGTCTCTTGACTTCAACTGTAATTAACAGCTTCTCATCCTAATCCTAACTAGAAACAATTTGGGGACTCATACAAATTTATTTACGTCTTTATGAGTGTTCAAGAAGACAGGGAGTATCTTTGTTTAGACAAGTTTATATGTCGTTATTTTTCCGATTTCCACACAGAACATATAAAAGTCCTTAGTAGTTTAATTAATTATACTAAACCTATATACCCTTTTCACTACTATTATTATTTATTTTCTGTGACCTAGTCTTTTACAAACTTTTTTCTAACCGGATGACAATGGTCTAAAACTCACCGAAGTTGTTCAATCTTCTCTTCGTACCATAATATCATCGTGACCATCACTTCTGTTAAAAAGCATGGCTTCAAAAAGAAACAAATCAGCTCCGTCAACATCTTTAATCGTTTAGTGGTTTTCTAGACGTTGATAGCATATTAAAATTATAAACCTCCTGTATCCCGTTCGTCATGAACTAATCATAGTTGTATTTACGATGTGTTTTGAACATGCTTTGACCGCTCCTCAATTTATTTAAACTTGTGTACATATGTAGCAATTTTACAAGCTCTCTTACACATCATTTGTCATTCTCTTTTCCATTTCAAAAATGTCAATCTTTAATCATCGTCAATATTCAAAGTCTTAATTTTTGATTAAGTTAGAACTGTCTTGTGATAGGTTACTTTACAGTTCCTACAAATAACCTAGACGGTTATAAGATTTAGTCATGGTCATTTAGTCTTTTGGTTCGCACTATACGGAACTCCTGATCTAGTCATTTATTTTCCCTTGTTTTTTGCTTGTTGTAATCGGTGAATCATGTTGGAAATCTTGGCTTTGTTGAATTTTCTAATAGAAAGCTCCATTATTGAAGGTTGTTAATTTATCATTCTTTTTGTCACAGTTGAATTCACAAGTCCACCACTGAAAACCTGGAAGCACTGGATGGCCGTTTCGTTCCAATATGGGACTCTTCAGTAGTGCTAAGTAGTGCTGGATTTGAGACATGTTTTATGATAATTGAAAAGACTTTTTGATGCATGGAATATTCTTGTTGTGGAATCATCGTGAAAAATACCAAACTGCTATATCTGCGTTCTAAATATCACTGCGCCACTTCTGTTGACCAAGATATCATCGAACATACTTAAAGGTTTATATATATATATATCACATCGACGTCGAAATGTGTATATTTCATGTTTAATTTCCAATTGATTAAAACCACTTTCACAGATTAGTTATTTCAAGTTTTTATTCATTATCTTATGACTACAAAATTGTGTTGTGTTTGTACACAGCTGGTTGTTTTCTCAACGTTAAAACTTCATAGTTGAAATGCCACATTTCAATTATTGATTTAAGATAGTCGAACCAGTATGAATCCAACTTATTTTTATACTTTGTAGGATAAGTTTTCAATTTTTAGACATTTTACGTCATAGATTCTAACCACGGGTTTTAAAAAAAATTTAGGATGATACGATCTGAGGCCTAATATAAGGTATTTACCAACCGAAATACAGTATCGAAAAAAGACGAACTTCAAGTGACCAGTTGTGTGCTTATCAGTAACCGTAACTCTCATCTAGCAAAGTAATCTGATTCTCGTGTTTACTTTCATTGTTGAGGACATTAAAATACACTGAATCATACACACGCACAAATTATGCATGTTCAAATACTCGGGTAAAGATAAAAAGACGTAATGTGGTATTATTCGAAATATTAAACTAGATGAGATCATTTGGAATGTATCACTGTGTATGTATGTGTGTATGGGAGGGAGTAGCGTCTTGAGAATAAAGTTATTTTAGTTGGTATAATTATTGGCTTGTCACGGAAAGTATTATTCTTATTGTTATCTGGTACGTAATCCCATCCTCATTGAGATATTTTGTAGATATTCAACAGTAGTTTGATAATCTGATATATATTCACTTTGAATCTTTAATGTTTGATTTTGTTTAAGGAAATTATCAGTTCACTTGATCCATTCTTCTAGTATTTTTCAGCTCATTGCTCCGTCGTAAAAACTACTCTAGCCAGCCATATGGACCAGACACACTCGCTATTTTACTGATCGTAGATATTCAGTTTTAAAATGATCTTTTATCCTGCAAATTCATTTTGTCGTGTAAAATCATATTGTCCGTGTATAATCTTCTCTACCTCCACTGATAGTTTTACTACTTCTACTACCCTGGTATTTGTCTTGATGTTTCCATCTTCTTGTGGTGATATGGTGTGGCAACTCCAACTGTTGCATATATTTTGCAGCTTCTACGTCACGTACCGATTGATGAAAACCAGGTAGCACTGAATAGCCATTTTTCCCTAGATTGTGACCTCTGAGAAGTTGACTGTTCAAGGACATGTAGGTTTGCAGATTAATGGTATAATTGCTCTGTATCACGAGTCGACTGAAAATGTACACTGTGAACTTTCTACTAAGTGGATTTTATACTATAAGATACAAAGATGATCAATACATGTCGAGTTATTACTGTTAAGGGATCCTAAGCTGTAGTAAAACAACTTCTGAATGTTTCATCATTTCCAGTGTTTCTTCAGTGCATATTAGTTCATAATGCTTACACAATTCTTCACAAATATTCCTTAAATTACTGTAATTTGTTGTTTTGCCAATCTGTGCAATTAAATTTGAATAAATCTACTGTTGAATTTTATTATTAATATAGGCTGCTTCCATATTCTATCCTCATTTACGTGAAATTATATATCAATTGAAACATATTAACGATTTCTTGAAGTTATGCTTTCCTGAAGCATTAAAGATGAATTATGATTCACAGTTAACTATTCCTATAACTGATAATTTGAAATCTCTTTTATCGTGTAAAGTAAGTGAATTATTGATTTTAATCTTATACTGAGTACATATTACACTTTTGATTTCCTTAAGATTTTTACGTTTACACTTTGTCATAACAACTTTACTCTATCCTCAATCATTTTTATAACATACATTAAAACTAATAAAAATAATATATTTGTAATATCCAGATGAGTGGAAAAATCTAAATTTTAAATTTTCTGACGATTCATCCCTCAATGTAAGCTACTTCTTTAGAGAATGTAATAAAAACTTGGTAATGACATCTACAAATACATTGAAACTGTTCTTAGAAACTGATGGATTAGACAAATACACCATATGTGTATGACTTAATTGAGTTTTAGTCTATTTTGTTTAACTGATCGTTTGAAATATTATTATCTGTCTGAATGTTTGGACTATTTTTTCCCCTAATACTCAACTAATTAACTATGATTGTTTTAAATTGTTTTAAGCTGATAAACAGTTGACTAAATGTTCGCAATATTGAATTACAGCCTAATTATGTTAAAAAATGTCAGATGGTTTAGGTTATTTAATTTCAAATAAATTTTATGCTTTGTTAAAGAAGCTTAATAGTCATACTACTGACTATACCCAAATTTGTTGCCGGTAACTTTTTTTCCACATAGCGAACATCTCTGATGATCCTAATTTTAGTAAAATAAAAGGACATCTCGCCTATTTCAATAGATTTAAAAGTATGGTAGTAAGATCTAAAAGTAAAGAGCTTTTACGTGACTGGCCCTCAATGTAACTGCACTTTAGGACCTGCCATTACTTTGTTAGTGCTATATGACCTTCAGGACTAAATTAGTTTCCACGATGAGATATGTCTTTCCATAATAAGAGCAGTCTACAAGTGGCAACTACTTGTAGCCTAAGTGTAGCTTAACTGAATATATAAATTATTTAGTTAGTTAGAGTAATATTTTGTGTCGTTTCGATGGTCAGCTTTAACTGATTATCCTAACTTTCACAAATCAAGATGACCTTGGCTTGAGTGCATAGTTTCATCAGATTGAAAGGAAAAAAAATCAAAGTACTTAATTTCTTCATTGAAATATCAGTTAAATGAAGTTTTGACTGCCCAATGAGCGAGGAAAAACATATCCAGTTAGGTACATCAAACGTAAATGATTATCCTTTATACAAAAACGATTCTGCTTTTGTTCCACTGTGAGCCTGCTTGTTGAATACTCTCTGTTGTTTGATAATACACCGCCCTTCTGACCTATATATCTGTTTGTTGACTTTGAGTATTTGAGTTTAGGTAATTAAGTATCCGTGATCTATTGGACCAATTATTACACTGCCTTGGCCCACTGTATTGATCTAGTGTCCAGAGTAGGACAGCTAAAACCCTGTTTTGTAATTGTAACAGTCGTATTTCCTACATTTTATATAGCTATACGGCTCTTTTTGAATAAAATTATATTAAGGTAAAGTGATACGAAACCAAATTTATTTGTAAAATCAGTAATAATCAACCTATCGAATTGTTCTTTCTACTTTCTAACTGTCCATTCTCTTGTATCACACTATTGTTTCATTTTATTGATTGAAATAATTTAGAACAACATATATAAGCGAACAATCTTGTTTTCGATTAGATCATCATCAGGCTTTACTCCGATATACAGTAATATTTATATGCATATATGAAATTATTAAACTAATAAAGACAGTTTATGAGACAATGATAACAATGGAAATGATTACATAAATAAACATAATAAGTGAAAAGTACAAATTGATAGTGTGATGACTGGTGTTACTAGTTTTTGATAAAAATAATAAAGGCTTAAATCAATGTTATCATTGACTCATAAACTACCTTGATTGGTTTAATAATTTTGTATATGCATATAAATATTACTGTATCTTAGAGTAAAGCCTGATGAGGATCTAATCGAAAACAATATTGTTCGCTTATATCTATGTTGTTCTAAATTTACAATATGGGAATTTTTCAAATTTCGGAATAATTTAATCTAAAATGTTTTATTTCTGTTGTTTTAGCTTGGCTTATCTTTGATTTTTTGTTTGCTTGACGCATGTGCTCGTGCCTCCAACCCCACTGATCCGTCAGATTTGTAAGTTTATTTGTACCTTTTCAATAAACTTGATCAATACTATATCAAACTAGTTAGTGAATAATAATAAATTAGGTTTTCATATTGAAAATTTTGTGCTGTCATATATATATATATATATATATATATATATATATATATATATATAATAGTCCCTTGTTGTTTATTTCTTTTTTTAAATTTATCTTTATCAAGTATTCGATTTGGAGCGTATTTCAGTTATGCCAATTCATTTATTGATCGTACTTGCATTAATAATACCACTAATGAATGCGATTATGTTATGGAGTCATTTCCACATTTAGCTTCAATTCTATTGTTGTATATTAAACCATCGAAATATGGTCTGTTAACTAATGATCATTTGAATATATTTTGTGATTTAGCAACCAAAACTATTAAAACACCAAATAATGATATTACTAAATATACTACTATTACTACTGCTAATAATAATAATGATAATAACAATATGGATGTGAATCAGCAACTATCAACTGGAATCATTGATTCAGCTACTGCTAACTATGCTTCGGTTTCATCGCTATCATCGTCAAGTTTGACACAATGCTGTGCTACAGTGAGTGATTCACATAACTCTGCCGTAAATAGTCATCATCATGCTACTCAACAACATCTTACTATGGACAATTCAGTACAGACTCCGAATTCACAGAATTCTGAAAATGTTTTGTCAAATATTACGAAAAATCCCGATGATCTATCTGCGTCAGTAGTTGTTGGTTAGTAGTAAGTAGTAGTAATAGGTTCATATCTAATAAATACAAATACAGAATTTAGTATGCAGGAGAAAGAGGAAAATGCAAAAATCCGTTTTATTTTCAAAGAAGTAAGTTCGTTTTCTTGTGTATTTATTTGTTATTTGCAGTTTTCTCCTCTTTTTATGCTTAATTTTGTCTGAATTCAATGTTGATCATTTCTAAATCTACTTGGGATTTCTGTAACTAGTGAATCGACCTGTCTATACAATAATCATATTCTACTATCATGTGAAATATAACTCTTCACTGTTAGGTTGGGAAATATAATGGATTTTACAGATTTTCCTTCTTGTTTAATATCCCCTCGTCAATGCATGCTGTATCTCCGAAAAAGACCTACAAGATCCTTGTATATTGGTCTGCTTGAACTTACTTAATCAATATAGGAAACCGGAACTATTTACACTTCGTGTATCTGGAGACCTGGTTTTCACCGCTCATGACTTCTCTGGTGTATAACACTAAGTTCAAAAGAGAAACAGGCTCTCCTGAACTGAATTCTAATAGACAGTCGCCTATGTGTTGTCCGACTAAATGGGAACACTGAATGACAATAGTACAAACCGTTTTCTTTTTTATTTGTGCCTGCATTTCCACTGACTGCGATTCTGGTGAAATAAAGGATGAGTTATATAGAAAGCTTTATACACTCCTAAAAAAAGCCAAACGCTCGTATGTCGTAATCGTAGCACGAGACTTAAACACCAAAGTAGGCAATTTAAACCAAAGTGAAAGACACGTAGGTGGGTCTTACAGGCTCCGAACATAATAAGGAATAAAGATAGTTTAAACATAGATTAACAAAGTCTACTTAATGTTTGTGGACAGTGGTGCAAAGCTGTGAAAGAGGTGGTAGCTATAGGCAATGCTGGATAATTTTTCATACTTATCAAAGAATCGGCTATTCAGGATGCAGGAGTTGGTGAGAATATTTTTGAAAAAAATGAGACAATGATCCACCTTTAACACTGGGAACTGGAACAATGAGCAAAATATTCTGCAGAGCAGTTTAATTGTTCTACACCTAGTTTTTAGTCACTTAGTTTTTCTACGTATCATGAATACGATATTCAAATAAAACTTCCCAACTCTTATAGAATTAAAAACAGCCATATCTAGTATGAAACGAGGGACGGCAGCAGGTTCAGTTTTAGCTGTTAAGGTGACTGAGATCTTGGTTAGTCTTGAAACTGGACGTAATCCCATCGAAATGGTTGCTATCACAGACTGTTCCGGCACATAAGAAAGGACAAAAATGCATCCAGTTCAAATAACATGGTTTTTAAAATATTAGCCTCAATAGTCATCCGAAACCTGACTAGGACTCATAAAGAGTAAACTCGAGAAATTCAGTTTGGTTCCAGACCTTGGTGAAGATTCGTGGACCAAATATTGGCTTTTTGCCAACTTCTAGATCACACATACTTACCGACTCCCAACCACAGTTGCATTTCTCTCTAAGGCAACATTTGTTTCTCCAGATCGACAGGTTATATGCCAGCGTTTGTCCACTGCAAGGCCTAACAAAGAAATACATTAATCGTGTACAAGCTTTCTACTCAAACACCACTAGGCGAGTAAGAGCATGTGGCTAACTATCACCGGAGTTGAAAAGTCGAAGTTATGTTCGTCAGCATTGTTTGCTCTCCCTATTTTTTTCTTTAAGAAGACCAGTTGATGATGATGGCCCTTGTGTAAATAACATACATATGATTTAATCGAGTATATACAAATTACAGTGACTAGGTTTTATGAATTGAGTATTTTTCAAGACAGACAAATTATAGTAATAATGTATTGGGAGTTCATGAGCAGAGCTTACACTGAATAATTCAGTGAATCGTAAATTCATTTTAATCAATATTGATTTACCTTTTCGTGAGTTGCATTTGGGGATAGCTCACTGCCAACACATTTCGTAACGATAAGACAGTAGGTTGTGGGGTTGTTTCCCTGACTGATACGTATCCTCTGCCCTTTGAAGTTGCTATTGCTGTTTATTTAACTTCTTCGAGAGAATCTATAATACTGCAACCTTATGATCCTGTATCGGTATTATTCGATCACTGTTCAGAAAATGTAACTTTACTGAAAGCACTGTATTTCATTATAAGATGTCCAACTGTGATACTGTTAACAAGCTTCCTGTACGCTAGTCCAACTGGGTAATTGAGTATGAAGAAAGCTTTTGATTGTCCACCTGAATCAAGAAGTAACTGCACCGCAAATATATATATATATATATATATATATATATATATATATATATATTTGCGGTGCAATATTCGTGATAAATTAACTATCTGATGTTCTCCGCTTTTCAACTATTTTCTAGATAATATTTATTTGTGGTTAACATCATATTCACATATCACAATCGCATAATTTCCTGTAATATATTTTCACATTTTAATATGATTAATTTCAGTTTTTCATTATAATATTGTGTTATATTCTATCTCTAGGTTTCGTTTGTTGATCATTCGAACATTGAACAATTAAATGGATCATGTGTTGTAAACACCGCCGTTTTCTCATTTATTTTTCTTTAAAATTTTAAATATAATTCTTTTGCTCTTCCGTAAGAAAATCACATCACACAATAAAGAGTGGAAAATAACTTTGTTCATTATATTCAACTAGATAGTGCGATTGTATAATTATTTTCGACACTTGATCATCGTTCTGTGACGATACAATTTTATAGTGATTCATCATGAGGTTTTTGTCATTAGGATGAATTGTTTAACCTCATAAAATGTATTTCATACAATCAAATAAAATATCTTTACATTTGTTTATCCATTTGTTCTAATGTAATTTATTATATACGTCTCTATGATATATATGTGTTTACATAAATTATTATTATTCTGTTAAATTTAAACTCAACCGATCATGCAATAAACAGATCACCTTTGGGTTCTCCTTTCCTTTTAATATTTCATGAATTATCTTATTCTTATCGACCTTGAAATGAAATAACAGGTATATAATTTATTTTTTACCAACTTCAATGTATAAAACCTTTACACCATCACCGTTCTCTTTTAGTGTTTTCTTCTCTTCCACATACTCGTGCGTCTGCTGCCTGACTTTCTTTTCAGTTTCGATGACGCCATTAGTAAAGTTTGCACGTCTTTTTGTTGCTTAACACCGACATCCCCACTGTGTATTTTTTTCGTTTTAATAATTGTGAAATAACCTTTTTAATAAAAAGAATGGAGATTTTTCTTGTTGTTCTATCTTGTCAAACCATGTTTTACTCGATATCGGGGTAGAGGGAAGAGTTTATTGTCTAATCGGTTAGTTTGTATATTTTGTAAGTAGTTTTCGTCATTAACATAGGATTTATTTGAAAATTTGAAGAGTAGTACTTGATGCTTCTGGCGTTCTACTTTAACACGAGTTGGTATGGATTCAAAAGTTTACGCTAAATTAAGATCATTTATAAATTTCTGGCTTCGTGTCGAGCACGATGTTTTTAGATCACTGCGTTGAAACCCCAGTGTGGTCCATATTTCCAGCTTCAATTCATGATATAGTGACAGTTTATCATTGAATTCCTTAGTAATTCCAGTTGATTTTACAGTCCAACTTCTCAAACGGAGCTTCAGAAAATTCCAACTGATAGCTAGTTATTTTTGAATACAGGATTATAATTTCTATATAGACAACTTTCAGCGTTTCTCATAACTGATCTTAGATCACGTCGCGAAGTGTACAAAATTCATCTGGGAATCATCCAGCTTTATTTCAGGGTTTGTAGTTCCTGTATATTTGTGTTTGTATATGACATAGAAAATAACATCATGCTGACGAAAGTCAAATGAACCGAAAAGATTAGTTGATTAAGTTTACTTCACGATTTCTTTAGTTAATTTTTGGTAATTATTCAGGAATTTTTTTAGATATAGAAAACGTTTTGGTTGATTTAGACAAGTTTTTTTTATCAGAGCTTGAACCTCGAAATCTGACTGGTTTGTTGCGTGCTCATCATTAGAGTACTGTATACTAGTGCGTAATTGACACTAGAGATTTCATTTCAGTACTCCGAAGCTATCTATATTTGTCTGGGCGAGGAAAATAGTAATTGGTTGTTTACTTGATCTGACAGGTATTAAGTGCGTTATATGTTTTCTAACCCTTGGCATTGAAATATACTCACGTTCTAGTCAGGCCAGTTACGTATTCTTGATCTGAGCTGTGTTGAAGACCTGTTGAATAGATACTGTTAGGGTATCTTGTGTAGGTATTCGTCTTAGATAAATTAGTGTTCTATTGGTGTAAGGGAGAAAACCAAGCGTTATTTCTTTCCCATACAAATATGTCTAGTGTGGTGCAGTTGAACATGGTGGATTAAAATATTAAGTTCCGAAATGAAATATTTGGTGAAAATTATGCTAATACACATCATTCACCCACTAACCGAATGAGATACGATATTGTTTGGCGTAATATATATTCTGATTGAAAAATGTCAAAATAAACACTTTTCTGAGGATAAACAACGAATGAATTATACAAATTGCTTTAGTGTTTACGCTTGACTTGAAAGGGAAGTATAATATAGGGTTTACATACATAACTATTATTTACCACAAATCGTAATATTCTTACGGTTGGAAAAATACATGACCGAGTGAACTGAGCAGACCACTAGATAAAGTAAACTTGTGCATCTCATTATAAATGCAAAATCTACTCTGAACTAGCGTAATGGAAATTTATACGTAAAACCTCTGTACACAAATACCAAGTTTTTATTAGAGTTGGGCTTGTAACGAAACTATTCTGTACACAATCCTACACAGTTTCTGGAAAATTCGACGACAGTGAAAGGCTGGTTGTGTAATATTTCTTATATTTATAAGTTTGATATAACTTGTTGGGAATATTGACTCAGTGGTTAAATCACTCTTCTACCAGCCACGGAATTAAAATTCTGAACTTCCTTTCATCTGCTTTAATTTTATCGACTGAGTGGTACTTTTTAAATCTAGATCATAAGTTCAGTCAGTTGTCTCTATTATATTTTCTAATTGTTTAATGTTTTTTTGATACTATAATTTGCCCAACTTTTCCTGAATCAGAACATGAATTCAAAGAGAATAATGTATATTCTAATAAAGCCAAAAAGCAGAGATATATTAATAAAAACATTTGAGATTATATAGGATTCACCTAAGATTTCCCAGCATCTCAATTTGTCTGTTATCGTTGATTGGTTGAAAAGAGATCAGTCAATGTATTTCGATTTGAATCTGATCTGTTATGATGATTAGGAGTATTTGAGTTATAGTGTGAACTAAGAATCCCAGAAATAACGTAATCGGATCAAGAAGTACTAGATAAGCACAAACGAATGTACTGTATTTGGAATTCGAAATCAAGCATTCAACAAATACAAAGGAATCATTAGTTCATTCAAACACCACATCTGTGTATACAAAATTCTTCATGTCCCTTTTTTCCTCTTTCCAAATTTATTTCACTGAATTATACTCTTTAAATAACATCTCCAAACCCTAATCTTCCCGATCACTGCTTACACTCTTGCTACCTCTACCACTACGGGATTCGAATCGACAACTGCATCTCTGTGTTAAGGTGGTGTGGCAATTCGAACTGATGTACGTACGTACGAAGTTCTACGTTGTTACTGACTGACTGATTGATACAAAATAGCACTGTCCTACTAATATCTCTAATTGTTTAACATGTAGAAAAGCTAGTTGTATATATGTTTCTGTAATACTACAACTATTGTTTTA